CAATTTTTTCTAAGACGTTCATTTACAATTAATATTCAATATTTAAGCTGAACCATTAACTCCATCATCATCATTGTTGTAATTTAACATAATATTATGTAATTCGTGTTCCACAAGTACAAATGAATAAAGCTGTGAATTTGTAGAAAAGTGAATTTTTTTTTGGTAATTATGAATGTACCATTTTTTAATTTATAGGTCATAATATATTTCTAGTATTTTTAATTAAATGCAGCCAATTAGTATTTTTGAAAACCTAATAATTTTTTAAAATGTTTCAGGTGAATAGTATAATAAAAAATTGAAATTAAATCAAAATGTTTAATATTTTTTGTTATTAAATAAACATATATATTTATACATGTAAAATATAATGTACTAATGTATATTATCGTATAATATTAATATAATTATAAAAATTAAATTAAAAACCATTTAAAGTATATTTTAAACTATGATTTTTGTCATTTTATTTGCATTATCAGTGCATATTTTAATACATTTTTGACATTTTTAATGCATTTTTTAAGGTTTTTTAGTGCATTAAATTCACAGCCCTACGAATGAAACATATTATTGATAAGTCATTGCGTGATTTTGTTTAATAAATGTCAGATTCTGATGCAAGACGTATTTTAAATTATAACATTTTCTAAAAATATGATTACGATAGTCACAGTTTTTATGTTGCGTGTAACGTGTGTTTATGTAAAGCAACGGGCGTTACCGCCTGCCCAAACACACACACACACGTTCATGACTCCTTCACTATGACTACGCGTACTACTGTGTCTATATGTTTTTTAGTTTTTGTCATATTAGGTAATACTTAAATAGTCGGCTCGCTATATTATGGGTTAGAATACGTAGATATTAATGATATTATAGAATAGTTACACAGAGCATCAAGAATTTTGAACATTTATAGTAAAATCGCGCGCATAAACAAATTGTAAAATTTTGTGTGATATTGATTAATTTAAATTTTTTTGTGGGAAATTTTGGCACGTGTTACAGTTAAAATATTATGATGAAAATATGACTATGAAACAGTGTGTGAATTGAGGAAGGGAGACTATAAACATTGTGTGCGTGCAAAAAATATAAAATATTTTCTTTGATCATTTTGAAACTACCTAAAAAGTTAAATTAATTGAAATACAAATAATTTAAAAAAACTGTATTTAAATATTTTTATTGATTTTATGATTACTGTAAATTATTGTTGACTCTTTTTATTAAAAAGATAATATGACTTTTTCCTGCTTCTAATAGAATATGGAATAACGCTACGAATCTAACCTATCCATCTTTGTTATATCATTCAGTAAAGTTAATCAAAATATTCGCAAAATAATAAAAATTAATTTTATTTTTGTTTTCATACCTATAGAAAATATAGTTTTTACTGCCAGCTTTTTCATTAGAAAAAAATATTTTTACGTTTAATTATAGTTTCCATGTAAAAATTTTGTTTGTGTGATTTATTATTTACGGTTTTTGTTGATTTTGAATAAAATACAATAGTGACATACACATAAGCGTGCACAGACCAGAATTTTGACCACAATATTATTGGGCCCTTTTCTAAACTAGTCATGAACATTTGACAAATTATCATGTATAAATAAATATTAGGTACTTACAATGTTCCTTTTATAAGTAGGCTAATGGTTAATCTCTTTTCAATTCAATAATAATAAATGGTTTATAATGGCAGAGAAAAATAATTAAGATATTTTAATTTTTTTTTCATTTTGTATTTAATAGTATTTATGTAACTAGTTATACATTTTTTTGGATTCAGTGGCGGACTTAAATAAAAAGGCCTGGGACGCAGAAACATTTTATAAAAAAAAAAAAAAACAATGTGCTTTTATTTATTACACTAAATATTTAAATACAAAAATTAGAAGCATTTTCAGTCTTTAAAAAGTAAGCCTGTGTAAATTTAATTTTTTTTGTAATAGTTATATTTTCATTTTTTGAAAAAAAATCAAATAGTTAATAATTATATTTAAAATGTATAATTTTTAAAAATTAAATAATTTTGTAAATGCTGTAGACCATTTTGAATTTATAAATTACACTTTCTGTGTCAGGAAAATAATAGAAGTAGATAAATAACATAATCACATAATAACAAATTTTCTAAAATAACATACCTACCAAATATTTTGTATAGCTTTTGATTAAATATTCATGTAAATTTATGAGTCAATCAGAACTTATATTATTAAATTGTTAAGCTTAAATTAAGTCACTCACCAAAGACGACTGTATTATTTTTGGAAAATATATTATATCCCATGAGATCAATAATTTTTTTTTTTTTTGACACAATAGAGTTTAGCCTTATTTATTCAGTTTTAATTGACTCATAAATTTAGATTATTATGAAACCAACAGCTACATTAAGTTTGTTGTATTGAACAATTTCAAATTTTTAGTAGTGATTAGTGTTTATATTTAAGTTCAGAGATTATGTATATGTGTGACCGATAAAATTTAATAATTATATTGATAATACATATTATATCATATTTTGTACATCAAAATCTAAAATAAAACAACACATTTTGTATGAAAAATTGCTAAATGAAATTTAAAAAATATATATAATTATTAATCAATATAATTTTATAAATAAAAAATAACTTAAATTTTGGACAAATTTTTCAACACACAACTTATAGAAGTTACGCAAACTGAACAGACAACTGGTATCTAACTTTTTAGTTTTTACTATATTAATTTTATAAACACTTTATATAGTGATGATATTTTGTTCACAATACTAGAACAGTATTCATAATTTGTTAAGTTAACTAACCTATCTCATGGTTGATATTCATTACGCACATCTTAGATATTAATATTTACCAAATTAAAAGTAACATGTCAAGGAAAATATTTATAAAAAGCATACACAAAGACATAGGTTATTGCTAAATTATGATTGATTCATATAATCAACTTTAACAATAAATCAGCAACAAAGGCTTAATTAAAATTATTAAACACAATTAAATAACAATATATAATATGTTCCTTGAAATGTAATATATTCTGATTTTAGCTTAATGATTTTCGATAATTTAATGATAATATTAATATTATTATTTTTTAACACGTTTAATGCCACGGCTCGTTTGTCGTGCCGTAATCGTGTCGCCGCCGACTCGCCGCAACGAATTTCCGTCTCGTCGACTACGTGTCGACATCGACCACGGCGCACTGCTATAAGTGCTTTACTATTATTTTTATAAATATACCATATGCATACATTCGAATACAACAAGTTACTAATAAAGTAATAAGTAATCTTGTCTAATCTTAACTTATACATATATGTTTTTATAATTTATAAATAATAATAATATATTATTTAATAAATAAGTTTAATTTTATATTGTCACGCGTTGGTGCATATATTCATGTATATTATTGTAGAAACTAAATATATTTCTTTATAATTTATAAATAATATTTTTATTAAAACTTCTAGATTTAATCTAATTAAATTTATTAGACAATAATATGCGGTATAAATATATTATTATTCTACTAATGATAATAAAATCAGCCAGTCTCTACATTCCGGGAAAAATTGAAATAACAGATATATTTTTAGACCAAACATAAAACCAAATACACCATTCAATTAGTAATGTAATCAGTAATCAAAATAAAATTAATCATAAAAATAATTAATACTTACAATTGTTTTGCATTAGGAACCATAGGTACAACTATTTTTATTTTTAAACGTTAAACATTCAGCCTTAAGCTAATATAACAATAACATTTTGAAGCAAATAAATAAATCTATGGTACGATTATATTATAATATTAAGCGTATAAATTAATTTTAAAATATAATTTAAAAACAAAAATAATTTATTGCTAAGAATTGTAAAAGTTTAAAACCGATTTAAATTATTTATCTTAAATGAAAATGTAAAACAATGGGTGTAGCCTTCAAATTAGAATTTTATTACAAATTACTAATTAGATAATATTAAATACACTAAACTTTGGAAGAAATATGATAGTGTAAGATTTCTGATAATCGAATTCATATACTATGATTAATATTTTTAACAGACAAAATTATACAAAAATAAGACATTGTTGAGTTACAGTTAACATTTGAATAATTGATAAATGATAATTTAAAAATACAAATTAGAAGATATTTTGATTTATTTAAATCATTCAAATATTTAATCAGTTTCGACAAATTATGTAGGTACTTAACAATTTATTTTACATATCAAAAGTGTAGCTTTATATGTTTGCTCCGTGAAATGGCATCATCAATAAATGGAGCCATGTGCAAATCCCCTTTTAGTATTTGATACGACGTGTCATATTATAGAGATAATTAATTGACGTCTGATGAAAATATATTTACAATGTACATTGCTCATAGAAGTACACACAAAAGATACGACACTCCACGGTACAATTACTACAATTTTATTATTATGGACTACGAGCTCGTTCTTAACGGTCACTGATCGGCGGTCAGCCCTATGGTAGGCGGGTGACGGGTGCGCAAACTTGAATCAAATCTAAATGTTAACTGTGTTGTATTGTTGTCGAATGTTGATATCATGCGTTTAAGCAATTTTATTTTTAAACGCTAACAAGTCGATGTACATTACTACTACTACTACTACAGTAAACTCCATTGAGTATTTTATACACACAAACGCAACTACATAATCTATCGGAAAATTATATTGTTTTCGTTAGCAACTTAGGTTATTTAGCTGATTATAATGATGCAGAACGCGTGCTTTTGCGTTTTTAACTTCTGTAGACATAGCTTTTCAAGTGTCAGTATTAACTATTAAAGAAGTACAATAATTTTACTAATTTATAAGTATAACATGTGTATAGGTGAACTTTAAGTAGGCGGTCCGTGTTTGTTAATTACATAATATATTATTGAACGATGAATGTTACTTATTTAATTATATAGTTTGAGTGTGGTTATTACGGTGTTTTTTAAATAATAAATATTGTCATTAATCGTGAGTATTCTAATACTAATACTAGGTACTTAAATAACCTATTGTATACGTAATTATTTAATAACGATTTACGTTTTTAATCGTTAATTTTTGTTATTCTTTAATTATGTTTTAGTACATTTTCTATTATATTCGTACGCTTAAATAGTGTATTGGAGATTGAAATTAATACGTGTTTAAGTGTCATTATTATAACATTGCCCGCGATGTCAAATTTAATTGAAATTGATGAGATAATTTTTAATTTAAAAGCCACCATCACATCAAATAAAGGTGGTGTGCAATTGAATTGCATTGAATGTAAGTATTATATATTAAAGATATAATTAGTATTATAGTAGGTGTCTATACTTATTCAAGAGTGTACATCATTTCAGCCTAATAATTAAATAGTTAACTCTGTTTTAATTGCATTGAATGAAATATCAGTTTGAATTATAAGTGTTCTAAAAATCTTGTGATAAAATAATATAATATTATGTTAAAAAATATTCAGGACATAATTTAAATTTTATATATATATATATTTTGAATCTATTAATAATGATTTTTTATTCATTAAACCCAATATAATTAATAACTAATAACAAATAAACTATGGTTTAAAAAAACATTTTTTTACAAAAAGAAAATGTGTAATTGCCTAAACCAGTATTTCTAGTGTTCAATAAAAAAGAATAGTAGAGTCTATTTTTTACAAAAATATTACAATATCCAATGGTATTGATGTTGATAATAATTCAATAAAATTTCAGAAAAGAGTAGAAGTAATATTTTTAATATTCAATATAAGTAATGGGTTTAATACCTCATTCATCTACAAAGACTATGAGGTTTGATATCATAAAATTTGGTTTATTATATTATACCCACTGATAGTTAAAAAGATAGAAAAAAGTTTAACAAATTTAAAAAAGTGATTTTCAAGTCATATCATAATATACACATATATTGGCTATTTTTTACAATATTGATAATTATAAACAGGTAAATCTATGGTAGAAGATGGGGAAAATGTTTTTCATTATATTATAAATAAAATATTATTATGTCTATAATAGAAATATATTTATATACATGTTGTTACCTATTATATTTTACATTTTTGTCATAGTATTCATTAAACTAAGTATACATTTTTATTAAGTCAATGCTAATTTTTTTTAATTTTTAATTAAAAAACAGAAGGAATCTTATTTTTCATTTTCAAACTTTAAGTGATAATGTTAAAGATAAAATTAATAATTTTATAAATTTTAAACTTTAAATGCTTATAAAGGAATATTTTAGCTATGTATTTTGGATATGACGACATACAAAACTCTTATAAATTTTCAAGTCAATTTATTCAAAAATAAAAATTTTATCATAATTTTAAATAGGTAGGTAGCACAAAAATGTACAAAATATTAAAAAAAATATATTATGCCTAAAAAATAATAAAATAAATATTTGATAACCTTTTAAAGGCTCTCTCCAAAGTTATTATTTCAAAATTACAAAAATGGATTTTATATATTTGGTTTTGTGTCAAAATTCTGCTTTTTACAATATTTACTTCCAAAGTATCTAGTTACAATTTTCTATCCTTAATATTGAAAATTAGTGCATTTTTAATACATTAAATGCCAACATTAGTTTGTTACCTTATGCTAGATTCCACAGTGATATTGAAAAAAAAAAAAAATTAAACCTTTTCATCATCACAAAAATGGCAGAAACTAAAATCTAATTATACTCATTTATTAAATAATATATATTGTGAATAGTTGTATCAAATTTGGCCATACACTATTAGCCGAGTATTCTATAACACTAAAAATACATATATCATTCATCGGATACACTTTGACATCAGCCAAGCACGTAAATATTTAGTGTCGAAGGGTATCTGATGTTGGCATTGAACATGTTATTGGATAAAAGTGATATCAGATATTAAAACATTGAAACCAATAAATTTATTGCTCTACTCAGAGTTTAAAATGTGTACATTTACAATGTACCTATACATTTCTTATGGCTTTTTATAAATGTTATATAGGAACTAGTTCTTATTAGTTACTCTTATTAATAAATAGAGCCTAGATTTATATACTAAAAAAAATCTATGAATAAAATTATGAAAAAATAAAAATATGACTACATATAATATACTATTTATATCACAACTATTGGACAATCTGAATAAATGTATAAAACAATTAGAATAACATTATTTTTATGAGATTGTGTTTAAAAATTAATCTATTTAATATTAAATTATTATGTAACAAGTACCAGCATGAGGTACAGTCGAACTTGTTAACTCGAAGTTGAAGGGCCCAGAAAAAATTTCGAGTTATCTAAGAATTTGAGTTATCAAAATTAAAAATGTTTAAAACAGTACAATATATTAATTCCTTTATATTTATTATAAATAAAGTAATGTAATAAAAATTATTTACTGTGTATTTATATATGAATTATGTATATGTAATTTTAAAGATGTGTGTATCTATGTATAAATAAAAATGAGGTTAGAAAATTATTTTAAAAATGTATTTATTTTTGTTTGAGTTTTGCTGTTGATCATAGCATTTGTAATGAATCGTTTTAAACCATTTATCGGTTACGATAACACTAATGAGTAATGACTTTATTTTTGATATTAAAACACATATATAGGTACACGAGGGAAATATCACAATTTTATAATATTAATAAAACTCAAAACTTCTAGTTATCCACAAAAATATTTGAGTTAAACAAGATTTTTTACATTTTTTAAATAGGAAATTCTAGGGACCGGAAAATAAGTCGGAGGTATCTATAATTTCTAGATAACTCAAGTTCAACTGTATTAAAAATTTATGTCAGGTTTTCGAATTGAAAACCTAAATAATATTTTCAAAGCATACTTTTTTATTTGGATAAACTTCTTTTGACATTATTTAATACAAAGAATTGTACAGACAAAAATAGTGTCTTATATTACTATAAAAAAATTAAATAACTGGTCTATCAAATGATTATCATAAATTAAATGCAAATTTAACTACATTTTGACTATTTTAATGAATATTGTAGAAAATGTGTTTATGTAATTATCTAGAAATATGTATTTTTATTCAATTATGGAAAATAAAAAGTCTATCATGAAATATCAACTTAAATAATTTTAAGTAAGCTGTACAGAAATATGCATTTGCAATAAGCTATAATAACAATTCATCTTCACCTACCTATATATTAAATTTTTATAAACAATAATATTTAAAAATGATTTCTTTTGATTTCAGCTGATTACTATAATTTAATTGGTGAACCTATACCATATAAAAATTTAGGATTCAACTCTATAGTAGATTTTCTTGAGTCTTTCAAAGAAGTGTTCAAAATAAAAAATAAAGGATTTAATAAATTTGTATATGTTATAAGTGGTGGAAAGACTCAACACTTAGAAAAAATGATAAGCAAACAAAAAACTAAGGTAGTACAAAAATCAATTTATTATATTCTTTGTTTATAGGAATATCTAAAATCCTTTTGAAAATAATGGTTCTATCAAATGTGAATTTCTGAATATTTTAATTCTTTATTGTTAGTCATTGTTATCCTACTATTTATTTTAATTTCAAATCCTAATTCAAACAGTAAAATAGTACATAAATCAGTCAAACATTTCAAAATATATAATAGATTTATTTTACTATATATATTTTGTCATTAATAATTTTGTAAGTAATCTTTATCTTTACTCATTTATTTTAGTCTAAACGTAAATACAAATCAAAGTCGCAGAGTGTGGTATCAAATAAGAAGTTAAATACCAGTAACACCTACAATAATTCCATGGTTAGTTTATCAAATATTAGTTGTTATTTTTTTTTTTAAATATCTTTATATTTTTATTTTTATATTTTATTGTGTGTTTTATGATATTTAAATGCAGAGCTCAATTAATAATACAAATTATAATTAAAAAGCATTTGTATAAATATTCATGTCTATAATACAAATTTCTATTACTTACTAATTTATATGAGTAAATATTTTAATGAAATACTTACTGTAATATTTTTATTTATTTAAAATTCATTGTAGTTGTTATATGAATAGCTTATACTTAATTAATTGTTAGTTTAAATTATAGTACTTATACTTATTGTTATTTAATTAAAAAATATATGTAACTTTATTTATGATTTTTTTAATTTTTAGTGTCTATGTTATTAATTATTTGAAATATGTTTATGATTATTTTTAGAATTATAGATTGAGAAAAAAAAAACCACCAGTTGATAATTCTATATATCCTACGAACAAAAATAACTCTAGATCGTCAAAAATAAATGATGTATGTATAATTAATCATAACTTATAATTATTTCTTAAGTATAAAATAAATTACATTCATTAGGTTACTGAAAAAGGGGTTAAATCTTGTCACATTAAAATCTATTGATTAGCAGAGTAGTTAGTATCTATATTAAATATATTAATCATAAGCTGATCTTCATAAAACTTTTTTAATGGCTAAAGGTTAATTTTTTTTTTAGCATATGCTTAATTATTTATGTAATATACTAATATTTTAATTATAGTTTAAAATACTACAATAATCACAGTTCAAGATAATAAACTATGTATAAACAGAAAATCTATGATACCAATATAATTTAAAAGAACTGATGACCAGATTATACTTTTTGTTTAAACAATAATTATTGGATTATTAAATGAAACCGTTATTTAATCTACTTTTTTTTACTGTTTTGTGGTAACAAAACAAAAGTATTTTTTTAGGCTCCAGACTTGCATACTTATTTTTACAACTCTTGACATAAAATTTATGAACATAAAAGATGTAATTTTTTAACTTCAAATTTATTGTTTATTTATTTTAGGAAAATAAACTATTCAAAAAAAGAGATGAACCAAGAGTATTTGCTCAAGATCGATTAAAAAAATATGAGAAAAAAAATATTAATCAAATTGAGGTTAGTATATTACAATTTTTTTTTATAAAACACAATGTAAGGTACCAATTTATAAATAAGAATTATGATTTCATATACATGTCCAGCATTCAGTTAAAAGTTAAATAGTATAAATAATTTAAGATTTTGATATTTAGAATTATGTTTTGTTTAAAAATTTTATTGGACAATAACACAAATAAATATATTATTGTCATTAATATCAAGTTTAAAATTTCATATACAAATTATTTTATTAACAATAATTGTACACTTTATGCATTGTACTTAATGTTTTGGCTACAGATTTATTTTTAACTACTTTAATATCTGCCCACTTAGGTTTCTGCCAATTTATCATCATCAATATCAATTGCTAATCATACATTTTGACCTGTATTTCTTAAATTTGGTATTTACAGTATATTTTATACTATTTATGGTGATGATGAATTAAAAGCTTGTTTAACCTATAAAAGACATATTTTGTTAAAGGGACATGTATAAATATACAAAATAGGGATCCTGGTATACTTAGTAAACTCACATATATACCCTCCGATATTAATATAATTATTTATAAATAATTTTTTTTTAGAATAAAGAATTAAAAAATGAGGTTACGTCAGAAGATTCAGTTTTAGAACTGTCAAAAATATTCACAAAACAATGCAATATTCGTGATACGGTAAATTAATAAATATTAATTAGCTAACTTAAATTTATATACTTGATGAACTAGATTTTATGTTTTGTTTTAATTTATCACATAGTAAAATTCTATTTTAATATTTGTTAATATAAGTTATTATTTTATTAATAATATTTTTTTTTTTATTGGTTTGTGCTTGAAATTATTATACAAGCTACTACAAAAAGATTTACGTATTAAAATAAATTGATTAATTTAGTAACAAAAGATTTATACTTCATAAATAGGCAAAACAGATGATATCAAGTTTAATTTAAGTTAATTAAAATAAATCACTAATTTTATATAAGATGTACAATTTTTAAATCTTAATTGAATTGTTCATCATGTTTATTAAGGTATTTACTAAGGCATGTAATATACCAATACAATCCAAACAACTGCCTGAATATTACAATGAGCATATTAATTTGAAAATTAATCAGTATACATTTGAAAGTAAATGCAAGAAAATTGTAACTGTGACTGCTGTGTTTAGTCCTTCAAGTATTTGTGTGGTATTGGAAGATTATAATATTAATGTAAGTAGATTTACAAATTAGTTTTATTTAGTACTAAAAATTATATATCTTTCTATTATGTAAGTTTACAAACTGTGTACGTTCTATGTTCTCTAGGTAACCTAACTATTTACTAATAACAACAAATTTGATTCCTAATTTAAAAAGTTTATTCTTATTATTTTTTTTCTATACCAAGTGTTTATTTATAATTTTTAATATTACTGTATGCATATTTTAATACCTGTAGAGAGCAATAATAGATAAACTTCTGGATATTTATAATGTGAAATATTTAATAGTTCTAATTATAATAATTGTTTCTGAACTTATTGAACACTGTATCATAACGAATTTGCATTCGGTGTATTTTATGTTAATAAGAATGAGAAAACATACGGGTATAATGTCCTCTTAAAAAGATTCGAATCCATTTAAATCTTTACTTTAATTATTAAAATACATATATGAAAAATTTGGAACATAATTATTATTTATAATAGGAATTTTGACCTTCTAGCTTTTATTTATTAATAATTAAAACAATGTTATAATACTACACCATTATTTGTTATTATTCAGAGCAATTTATTAGGAATGCAAATAGAATTTAACAAAATGGAAACAGGTATTCAAACTCAATTAAATACTATTCCAGTTACTGGTTGTTATTATGCACTATATCATCAGCAAAAATGGCATCGAGTTGTTGTTGAAAGTATTTATTTAGATAACTCAGTTAAATGCTTTCTTATAGACATTGGAAAATCAATAATTGTTAATCGACATCAAATTTATTATCTGGATCCAAAATTTGTTCAGATTTGTAGTCGGGTAGTTAAATATTATGTTACTATAAATTATAATATTATATAGAATGTTGCCCGATGAACTGACAATTGCAATAACTTTTGTTCTATTGAAAATATGACTTACTATTATTTAAATACCTACTAATATCTAATTTTTAATTTTAATGATTTTTAGGCAATGAAAGCCATATTAAATAAGTTGAAACTATTTGATGAATTTCCATTCATTAAAGAAATTGTAATTGAAAAACTATTAGAAACCAAGTGTATTCTTATTCCAAACAGTGTCATTACAGATCCACCTACTGTAACATTATATGATTTGGAAACTAGGATGAATATAAATGACATAATAATCAATAGCTTTTATAAAAAAGTAACACCAGAGATTAATTTTGGAGTAAGTTTTTATTATTTGCAAATATAGTTTTTTGTATGATTTTTTTAATAACCTGAGAGTAAAATTTTTGTAATTTCATTACTAAAATTATACAGGATAATATTCTTGAAGTTTAATAATTATTATTAGGGAAAGCTCATCATATAAAATTATCAGACAGCATGTACAAGTCAAGCATAAAACTATACATAAGTCTTATTAATAAATACATCAATGAAATTAAAAAACTTATATTTGATAAAAATTAAATTAAATTATTAATCAAAATAAATGTACACAACTATCTTCTGTCGGAATTCAAATAAAATATAATTTTGAAATTAGCTAACTATTTTATATCTCTTATTAGTCGAAACAGCAAACAAAGCTCAAAAAAAATAAAAAAAATATTAGTTAGTCATCTACAGATTAATTATAAGAGGTTAAATCATGAGTACCTAATAACCAGAAAATAATCAGATGTACAATCTGTGGTGTTGGCCTTATGGTTAAACATAATAAATTAATACCACCAATACAGGAACAACTAAAAAAAAAAACACATACTACTCAATGTATATAATGCATTGAGCCCCTATAATATCTTGTATAATCAATATGATTATGATGAAATATTTAAGAACATAATTATATCTATTATATATATATTTATGTAAATTAAAAACTTAATTATTTTTTAATATGTAACTATTGTATAATTATAAACCTCTCAACCATGTCCATATACAAAATAATAACTTGTGTAGTTGATATTTTTTTAAGTTAAATAAAAAAATATTTTTGAAGGTTTGACATCAGTATTTTATTTTATTATTACTTAACTTAACAAATGAAAAAAAATATTGTAAAATTAAATGAATGTAAAATTATTTTGAGACAATATTTAGACAAACCAATATGCCATACTTTTAAAAATATTATTTTCTACAATTAAGTAATTTAACTTTTAAAATTACTCATAAACCAAAAAAAAAAAAAAATAAATAAATATTTTGTGGTAATGCATTTTATCCATATGTCTTAACGCCATTACATAAATTTAAAGATATATTTACCTAAGTAATACAGCACATATTAATATTAATTTGTGCATCTTTTTTCTTCATTAAAGTCTCTGTAAGTCTGTGTTTTAATATCAGTGAAATCACAGAACTTTTAAATATAAAAGACAAATATGTTAGTGTACTAAAATCATTTTCCTAAATATAATTGTATTTTTTATTATTTACCTAGGATGGATACGATTTTGCGGAAGTTAAACTAATATTAGTTGAAAATGGATACTGTTATGTGCAGTTCAATCAAGACTTAATCAAATCTCTGGAAAAAATTTTTTCAACAGATCAATTTTTTGGACCTTATTTGAAAAATGCTAGAGATATTGATTATAAAAATATATATTTAGCTTACTATGGACAAAACATTAAGGGTAGAGTTAAAGTGGAGTATTTCACTTCTAATTATCAGGTAATTAATAATTATAACAATTTTATTTTTATTAATTTAGTACATAAGGTTAGATCTTTAATTTATTATTAGTTTGATACTGTCTGGTTGATTATTTTCAGTTCAAAAATTATTTAACAATTTTTGTATATTATATGTGTTTTTAAATAGAATATCAGTTTTGTAGTATAATAATAATTATACAATAATTTCTAGTTGGAAAAATAAAGCAAATATCTGATAGTTTTAATGTATTTTTCATTTTCAAATTGTAGGTTAAAGTATATTTTATTGACTATGGATGTTTCAAGAATGTTGAAGTAAATACATTAGTTGATTTATCCAGAATTAATACCTATCTTGTTCGAATTCCAAGTCAAGTAAGTTAAATTTGCTTTTAAGAGGTTGGAATAGTATAATAGACCAGTTTTGTCTTTATTTTATAAAAAATAGTCTCAGTTACATAGAAAAATTGTAATGTTAGCTTTGTAAGTAAGTATTAATGTTTGCTGAAACTTAAAGTGTATAATTTCTATATTTAAATTTTAAAGTAAAATTATGAATGATTTTAAATTTTAGTATTTTTCATACTCATCCCTTTGTTGGTAATTCACTCTTCATTAAATCTTACTAAGACATCATTTGCATACTTATTGTCTGTTTTCCTGCACTAAAATATTTTGTACATCATTTGTACATTAACAGAGTAAACTTTAAAAGGGTATAAATATATTGAAAAATACATAGTAAGTACAAGTTGTACATCAGATATTATTTAAACAATTTTTGATTGTAATTGAATTTGAAGATTCAATATAACTCGCATATAATATGTGTATTTATAAAATTAAAATAAACTGATTTGTTCAATTAAAATTTAAATATATTTATATATTTATATATATTGCAATAAAAAACTGTGTATTAATTAGTAGTCTTACTTACAGTCGCCTATACATTTCAGTTGTTAAATCTTTTTATATATTTTTAAACAAAAAATACCTAAACTTACATGATATTTGAAAATTGAAAATTATGAGCTTCAAATGTTAAATTAAAAGAAATTAAGTAAATAATTTGTGCTTTTAGGTACTCAACATTTTTTCAGTTTTATTGTTAAATGTGCCGTTGTCAAATTATGTAAAATATTTTTATATAAATTAAACTGGCAATATGCAAAATATGTATACAATTTAAATCAATTCTATTAAGTTTGATTATCGACATTAGTTGTAAAAGATTATAAATTGATATGCTGTTTAATAATAAATATTATTTATCATTTAAAAATGCAGCTTAAAAATAATTATTATTTTCATTAAAAATCTGCTTATTTTAATTTTTAGGCTTTTAAAGTAGCTTTACATATGTTTCCTCCTGAAGATGTAACTAGTAGAACAGTTGAGGAGTTATTTAGTATTTTAGGGAATAATACCAATGTAAAAATGTATAAACTCAAAAATTTTATGGGACCAATTCCATGTGTTAAATTATGGAATATTGCATATCCTGATACATTTATCAACATTATTTTGTATTTGAGGTTAGTAATACAAATTGTATGATTTGTTTGTAATATGTTAAAACTGTCTATAGTATATTTTACAATTCGCTGAAAAAAATTTAGAATTTGTATTCTACATATTAACAGTTTTTAAATGATATTATTTAAATTGTTTGATGATTTTGTTATGTATTTTAGATTATCCGAGTTGAATCAATGAAGTAGTATTTGATGCAAAGAAGAAATAATTTTGATCTTATTAATAATGTATTTAATATTTATAATAAGCCTAGTAATATATTTCATAATGATTTTGTAAATGAAATAATATTACATATTTAACATTTTTAAATTTAAATGTACATAAAAATAAAAAGAAGAGCAACAAAATATTAGCATTTTTTTTTTTTTTGTGATAAGTTTATATTTTTAAATCTTTTCTTGAATATCTTAAAAATAATAAGAAAATTATACTTGGATTTGTTTTCTAAATGTTAATAATTCAACAGTATATAACAGCATAACATAGCATGGAAAGATGATAGACAGCAATATTTACAAGTTTTGATTTGTATTATTGATTTACATTTTACTTTTTAAGAATGTTAAAATATTAATGAATCAAAAGAAAAGTTGGTATGCTGTTTAGTATGTTAACTGTATAGTGTCATTGAGTAACTTACTGTAATAGATGTGTTAAATTTTATTTCAATGATAAATTAATGTATAATATGATAAAAAATGATTCTCAACAAAGACAGTATCATTTCTAAGGATATTTTATTATATACTTGTTATATTGCTATTAGAATAATTATGGGGATTGAACTAATTTTTGTCAAAAATATGTTAGTAGTTTTACAATATTATTTCTATACTACCACCATAGAATAGTGTGATTACAATGATAATAATTTTATATCTAATATTGATGACACAACACTACAAAATAAATTAGATATTATTTTTCAGTTATTAGAATCTTATCATAACTTATTCATATTTCTTTTTTACATGGTTCACATAAATATTAAATATCACTTAGAATCACAGTCGATCAACTTTCCTGTGCTTGTATTTATTTGTTTACAAAACTGTGTAGTAGTGTATCTATAGTTTATTAATATTAATTAATATTTATAATAAATAGTACCTATACTATTTTTTTTTTTTTTTGTTTTTCATAAATTTTGTATAAAATTATTAGTAATTTATTTTTAGTTATTTAATTTAATAAAAAGAAAGTAGGCAAGTATTACTGCTTTGCTCGAGTGTATCACTTTTATCATTGAGTAATGAGTATATATTATACAATATAATATACTAATTAGCTAATACGATTATGGATGTATTAAATTTAAATTCAATGATATATCATTGTAATCGAAAAATGATTCTTAGCGGAAATTGTCTGTCAATCTATATGTATTATCGTGGTCAACACGTCACACGCAAAGCGATAATAAACACTCAGAAGTCTTCTCATATAGTCGTTTACGCACCTACTTAAATTTCTCATGAAACACATTGTTTTTTTAAATTTAAATTTAATTAATTATGAAATGGCAGATAATTTATTAGTCTTCAAAAATTATAAGTTTTGAAAAGCTAATACAAAATTGAATGACAAAACTCGTTGGAAGTCCATTGAACGTTGCTGTACATAATTATCTATACACAGATTGCACATTTTCACATATTATAATTACATTTTCTTCGAAAGCTAGAGCGTAATACCTAGAAAAAATGGTATATCGTATGTGAGTTGTATCTACAAAAAATTTAATTGATTATCAAGTAGTTCATACAGATTGTAAAAGAAAATTGAAGATGATCTTCGCAGTAGGTACCTCAAAAGTCAAAACATTATTTAATGACATAAAAAACGTATTTGTATTTTATTGTATCACTAATTTGAATTATTGGAGGTAGATTCTATAAGTATATTGTATTATAAATTATAATATATGGACGGTTCCTTTTTTTTCTGTTTTGAACCGACGACGCCGTGGGAACTGCTTGCGCATTGCTTCCGCGACGCCGCCATCGTTTATTAAATATAAAATACAATTTACAATTAATTTTTAACATCATTGTCCCCTAAGAGCGCATATTATAATTTTTAAAATGAATACAAGAAAAATGTTTAAAATCTATTTGGCTTATGGTCCAGTTTTCTTCTGTGTAGCTTTTCGACCCGGCTTCGGTGCGCGCTAGTCTTGAACCTCCCCGTCTTCACTGCCGGCTTCCTAGCCCGCCAGTCACGCCTCTCGTTCTGGCTTCCTTTCTCCGAGTGTTGTTGAGGAAGAAGCCTCGTCTCCTGGTCTCTGGAGCCGCTCGTTCCACGACCCCGCGCGACGTTTGCGTCCCCGACCTCGTCCCCTGCGACGACAGGACGGTGACCAATCGACCTGTGGAAGTCCTACTAAGGCCCTGGGGTAATATATGGACGATACCTTCATGGCTACATTTAAACTTTGTCCTCAGTTTGTACACAAATGTTCACCATTTATGTACTTAAATAGACTAAACAAAAGTCTTGAAACATAATATTTAATATTTACCTACTTAATACTTTCCGTAAAATAATTTGATTAATGAATGAAAAATGAAATGAATAAATAATTAATTTTTGTATGGCAATTCACAATGCCGCCGAAGTTCGGTCTAATATTTCAATAGTGGGTTGTAAATTGTAATAATACGCCATTCGAAATGCCTCAATGGATTAGACGTATTTTTGGATTATTGTTTTTGGACAAATATAAGAGTGTTTTGTAAATAATATTTTATGTTAGACTAACAGACTGCCAGAGTCAGATCAAAAAAAAAAAATACGATTACTTCATTGATAATTTCATAAATGAGAGAACTTATTTCTACTGTGTTTACAATATGTGCAAGTCAGTGGTCTCAAAGTGTTATAATTTATTGGTGGGCATATGAAGTTATTTTATAGTTATTAGAAAGGTGCGTAAAGAGCAGTGTAGACCGCTCACCAAATACTTGTACAATATACAGTCATTCCTTGTATAATGGTTATCACCACTTTAATAACAAATGTAGGTTTTCGTGCTGTGTATTATTATTATACCGTTTAGTAGTTGGATAATAATTATTATTATTGAAATTTATTATAAATTTATATTATTTCGGCAATTGCGATTAAAAGTTATCTACCTACATCAAAATAGTTATTTTCCGTTCAATCGAAATTCGGTTTTTGGTCATTGTTGTTGCTTAAAATTTAGTACCGTAACCTGTTTATTAGTTTTATCCTTGATGCTAACCAGACAAAAAAAGAAAAAAATACATATAATACAATTATTCTACTATGTCTATAGTCTATGCGCTTATGATATGAATATGAATTGACATCTTTATTATTTCACATACATATAGAATGTAGTGGATGACGCAGACATCTGTGGTTCAAAAGCACTTTTAATATCATTTTTAAACTATTACATTAAGAATTAGGTAATCTATTTATCTTCGTTTCGACGTAGGTACTTCATTTTTTTGTCATTTTTACTGGTTCGTATTGTGTGTATACTATTTATTTTGTATTATGCATTCCTTATTTCCCTTAATTCAGTTTCGTTGATCACAATTGGGTTTATATTTAAATCAATTGTATCCATTAAATCTATAAGAGTAAATTCTTATTAATTTTATATATTTTTCTCTATCAAAATCCTACGAATACTGATTAGTCTATATTTTTAATTTTTATTGTTGTTTAATTCAACTTAAATTCCAATTTTCTCAGTTTCTTTACTTTAACTTATTACAATTTCCTTATTTCCAAGCATGCCAGGTTTAAAATTTTTATCTTCATGATCTTTATCGATTAAACTATATATATTTATATTCATTTAATCACATTTTATACAAATTAATCTCAAAATTATAGTATAACCAAGATATTTATTTTTAATTTAGTATTCATATCGATTCATTTTAAATATATTTTATAAATTTTCCAAGTTATGTATTCATTTATAATATATATTACACCGAAGTTTAATATGAAATATGAATTTATAAATTATAATATATAATAATTAGTATACGATAAACCCTATAATTATAATTTATATTATAACATACAGTGGCGGCTCGCGAGTGCTGGTGGAGGAGATGCGACTTTAAATATTAAATTGTCAAATAAAATATAATAAAAATAATTAAATGATGTAGGTAATATTATATGTAATGTCACGGACAACGTTGCCGGTTGTTCAAAACTTGTATGACTGAAGTTGATATGTACACGCATGTACTATGCATACGATTATAATTTATGAGCATTCGTTTATTTTAATATACAGGTATAATAATATAATATAATATTAATATGATTAAAAATAATAATCTAATAATTAACATGTCAATAGTGATTAGCAACCGACGACGAGCGTACGCCGGACACACAGTTAATTTTAAATATAAATTATTTGTTATTTATATAAGTTATAACAATATACCTATAACAAATATAATAATAATATTTTACTGTTTGAACAACGCTACCGGTCGTCTCGGCACTGTTAGTATGTGTATGCGTACTAAGTAGTGCGTACCCATAATATGCTCCTGCTTCATGGTATCTGAGAAAAATAAATTTAATGTTGCACACGACAAAATACTACATGGAAATTCAAAAATTGTAGTTTTAATGAAAATTATTTTTTAAAACTATAGAATTAAGAAAATACATTAATTTAGTAAGGGGTGCGATAGTCCCGTCGTCCAAGCCAACGATAATATTATATGTGTTGACAATGTTGACATTAGGCACTATTAATTCACATTTATTAGGTAGGTATAAACAGTCAGTCCTCCTCATCGAGAATATTTGTTTCAGCAATAAATTTACCTCCAAGCCTCCAACAGATCGACAACACAATAACATCAAAATGTCGACTTTCACATTGATGATCTCCGCCCACTGACTCAGCTCATCATTCATCGTTTTTTTTTTTGTCTTAACAAAATAAAATTTGATAACAGTGAATAGTAAAAAGTCAAATTAACTAAATCTATTTTATTGTTTATTTTATTAACGTTATTATTTATTTAATACTTTTGTATCTCTTGCACTGATTCAATTTTTTAGTTTAGTTTTAATTGCATTTCAAATTGTTCTATATTAAACGATTGAATCTTTGTTCGGCAATAGTTATGATGAGTTTTGATTGACGTAAGTATAAATTATAATACCGTAAATTAGTTGAATAAGAATACGGAATAATATTATAATTTTGAATTCAAATAAATTTCTAGTAAACAAAATCAATGCTTAATCTGTTTCTAATTAAAAATCGATTAGAAAATGAGATAGGTTTTTGTTATAATCAATTATTAAGGAACAAAATATATAACTACAACTGTTTAAATTTTGTGGACATCAATAATTGTTTCTTAGTATCTACCTAATTTTTTTTTGTCTTTTACATAACATTTTAAGAATAGTTGCGCAGCTATAAAAATTAGAGTTCTAGCGTTTCTTGCAATGAAGGTACTGTAATTAAGTTTTTTTTAGTTTTTTAGGCTTATCCTTGTAAACCAAATTTTCAGGTAAATTAAAAGGGTTTTATCATATTTTGTTTTTATTATGTCAGATAAATATGCATATTTTCAAATTAAAAAAAAAAATATATAAAATCTAAGTGATAAGTTTTAATTTATCATGAATCTAATATATGTATTTACATTTTATATACTGCTATTAACTTATTCATTTGTATTTATAAATAATGTTAATTGAATTATGACTGGTCATTTATCAATAGTACCTTCAAATACCAGGAATTTTAACAAATAAGAAAAGGGTGATAGTGGTAACTGCTCTGCTGTAAAGGAGTCTAGTGTACCTCATCATTGAGTAGGTCACTTTAATAGATGATAAATATGATTACTGCATAAGATAAAACAATGCAAAAGGAAAAAGATTCTTAGTGGAGACATCTATGTTATTTATTAAGTATTTATATACTTAATATTATATATTTATATTTATATTAATTATTATCATAATTTATTTTATTTTTTGGAATATGGTATAAGCTAAAAATAATCTAAATATTTTGAAAATTTCATTACATAATTATTTACGTTTTGTAATTATCAATTATAGAAGTATAATGAATTTTCAGTACCTATAAATTATGTGTTTTTATTGTGATATGTTTTATTAATAAATCAAAAATATTTTTTTCTCCAAAATACTCATATTAAGATTAAATTGTTTTTATAAATTCATTGTTCTTAATAATTGTTTTAGTATATTAAACTATGAATAAGTACAGTTTCCAGAGACCTGAAATGGAGATGCCTTTGCAAAATTCACACTATAACCCTTCTAGGGAAACTCTTGGACGCTATTCTGAGTATTCATTACATTCTAGTTACAAGATACGAGCTGGTGATGCAGCATGTAAGTGAATAAAATTATTAAATTTTAATTTTATCGAGTATTTAAAGTTAAAAATTTAAAATACATTTTTAATACTAAGGTGTTATAGTTATAATTGTTATTTTTACTATTATATAAAATATTAATAATTTATAGGTTTATTTTATTTAAACTTATTGTTATCAATATTTTTGTCATGGCACAAAATACTTTCAAGATTTTAAAATATGAGTTTCTATATTCAGTTTATTATTATTATTATTATTAAAACTCATTTAGACAGTTATTAGTAATTATAGAATAGTAAACCTGAAAACCGCATAAATTTTATTATTGGGGTACTTTATTTTAATAATATTATTTTGTGAATTGTATTATATTTATATATTTTTAGCTACCAATTCAGTGGCATGTACAACACGAATACCATATGCTACTTTAATAGCTGCTCTTTTATGTTGTACTGGAATTGGAATATTTTGTTGTACAATGTATCGTGGTGTAACACTCAGTGCATTAGTGTTAGATCAAGTGTTTCATCTCTATATTGGCTGGTATATTTTTTTGTTATTTTTAAATATATTAGGGCTTGGGACTTATTAATAAAAATTAAAAATGTGCATATGTAAATATATGCAAAAAAAATTTCAAATACTCATTATAATATTATTCAATTTTATTGTTTATAACATTTTTTGTAATATTTTTACAAAAGTTTTAATATAAAAAAATATCTAAAAATTATTTTTTTACACTTTTATTATAAAAATAATTAATATTTTATTCAATTATTTCTGTTCGTTAATATTTAGTATGAGATACAACGAAAAAATTGATTTTAAAATTATGGAAAATGGTGTTGGAATATTTTTTTGATTTATAATCAAAATGTGTATTAATACGTATTATTCCTTAAAATATATAAAATCCCTTAATTTGGTAAAATATTCATTTTTAAATTTAAGCTATATGTTGTCGTATTATTAAGCTAAATTTTGTTAAATCGGACTAGCTTTTAAAAAATATGCAACTTTTAAGTTCCAATCCCTGCTCATTAATGTTAATCTACATAGTGTTAAAAATTATATTAATGATGAATATAAATACAAATAACTTTTAATATAAGTATAATATTTATGATTGTTGTATTTCACATTTTTAAGGCTTGAAACTGTAAAGACCGTTTTAGTTTTGATAGCTGCAGGAATGGGAGCTATAACATTAATGATTATATTTGTCGGATTTCTGGCTACAGGAGCAACACGTCGTCGTGTTTATAAGGCATGGAGAAATAGAGTTGGTGGTCGTATATCTTGTGCGGTTGTAAGTATTTAAATGTAATTAAAAATATTATATTTAATTTTATATTTAATGTAAACAATTTTATTTTTAGTTTATGGGTATTATTTACATACTCCAATTTTTTTGGATTTTTGTATTTGGTTTACTGATTGTTTCAACATTTATATTAACCGTATTTTGGAAAATGTGTGTTAGCACCCAAGTTCAAGATTATCATCAATGCATTGACTTAACACAATTTAGTAAATAAACAACTTCTATTTATCTTTAAATGCCATTTAATCAATAATGTGGTAAATTAAATGATAATAAATAAATAAAATTATATTTTGTATTTTAGTTTTTCTATTTCCACAATCAACTCGTGTTGAATATTTAAAGATATGTGAAGCTCGAGAAATAAAGTTCTTTTGCAGAGATTTTGTTGAAAAATCAGAATTCATGTTTATGATGGCTACTTTTGGTGTAATTTTGATACTAATAAGTCTGGTAAGAATTATTTATTTAAGCTTTGTGAATTTTCTGAAAATATCAAGTGTAAAGACAAAATTTAAGTTTAAATAATTAGATTATACTAGAAAAAATTATGTCATTTAAAATGAATTCAACCAGAAAAATAAGCTTTAATTTTGTATAAAAGTAATATAGAACCAGAATTTATTTTTGTACTGTGTCCTATAAAACTCAAGATATAATATAGTTTTTAATGATAATTTTTAAAATTAATAAATTCATCTATACATTGTTTTTGATAATATTTGAAAATTGATAGGCTAAGTTATACTTTCATAAAAAAATATTTTGTCATGTTATTTGTTTTTTCACACAAACTAATGCATTTATTTGTTATATCACTCTAAACATAAGTGTTTAAGTATAAAACTGATAAATATGTGAAGTAATAAATTACTATAGTGCGTTTCACAACAAATTTCTTTTGTTACTAACGTACCAGATGGCGATTTTTACCCAACCCAGGGGGTTCACAGTTTGAGCTGGTAAATAATGAGCTTGTTTTTTTTTAAAATATGATCAGCAGGAGTTCTGTATTTTTATTTCCGTAGCGAAAATTGCCATTTGACGCATTATTATCGAAGGACATTTGTTGTGAATGCATTATAGTTACAAAGAGATATCATTCATTTTATTAATAATTACATCATACTTTATAGGTTCATTATTTGATGTGTTTATCTGCTAATTATGCTCATATTAGAGATCATGAAAAGTTTGAAGAACTTCAAGAACTGCAACTTTTGCAAGACACTGATTTTGCCACTTCAAAAGAAAGATTTTAGACATTAATTGACTAATTAAAATATTTAATTGCACAACCATTCCACGATTGTTAAACGTGTTCCACTACAGGGTTTCTAATTGTTAACCTATTATCTAATTAATCACTGATAATTAAACACTTTATTATTTAAGCATAAGTTATGTCTCAGATAAAGACAATATTTTAATTTATATTTATTATATAGGATTTTTATTTTATTATTTTCATATAAAATAATATATAATTTTTAGAAGAATATATTTTTAATTACATGATTTTATGGTTTTAATATTATTTTATAATTGAAACTATTTGTTTGAGTATTATTTTAAAATAATAGTTAATTTTGTAAAAATAATAATATTAAAATTTAATTCTTTAAATTTATTTAAAATGTCAACAACCAAAACAATTTATATTCCTGATTTTGTTTCCTATTTTATTTTTAACTGACTAATTTAAGTCTAGTAGCTTTTCTATTTTCTGTTAGAATTTATTTTTTTTATTTTTCCAGTATTTGTAGTTTTTTGTTTACTATAATTTTATAATTTTAATAAGTATAAAAATGTAAAAAAAAAAAAAAATAAAATAAAAATATTTTAATATTAAAAATTTTCTAAATTTAAGAATTTTTTTTTGTTAAACAATTATTTTAATTATGTAAATGGTTGTGCGCTTCAAACATTTTGAAAATTTATAAAATATGTATCCAATAAGTGATGACTAATGTCATATGTTAAAACACATTATTTTATAATACTTTTTTTATAATATATTTAATTAAGTGTAATACATGCATGTATGCATTTTTATTTTTTTGTTTATCATGAAAACATTTTGACAAAAATTATTTGTACATCAATTAATTAAATTTTTCATTTCTTATTTATTAAATATTACATTTACTATTAAGTATAATACTATTTTGTTTTAATTATTATCTTATTCTTATTCAAGAATTAATGTTATCTTAACTTATAACTTATAAAACATATTGTGTTGTACATTTTTCCTTACTTATGTATAATTTTATATTTTGGTATAAATGATTAGACATTATTAGCCATTAAATGATATTCTGAATGATTCATTCATATAGATACTTTTAAAATATGATTTGGCATCTAAAATATTTTATAAGAGTTCTAGATCTTAAACTGGTTTATTTTCTGTATAGTCTCAACTTTTGACTTAAGTATGAATAATGAGTAGGTGGGTCAATCATATTTCGTTTTTCTCAAAATTAGAATACTATTTGCATGAAGTACGGAAGTATCTACTTATTTTATGTTAACATTTAAAACTCCATAGACCTTATGAAGTCATTACTAAAATTATATTATAGTATTAAATTCTAGCATTATAGAGTTATAAAAGTAGAACATTAAACAATTGTAGGAAAGTTTAATCCAATTTATGGTCGGAAACGCTTTTATTATACTATTTTACCGAGATCTTGCAATAATTGTTCATCTTATACGAATGTCTCTTACATTCTTGTGCAACTATTATAGCTGCAACAAGACTCCTCACACGTATGGTGACATCACTGACATCAACATAATCAAATAAAAAAACATTTAAATATTAATTTGTTACTTCAGTACAATTTGCTTCTTGAGCCTTACCTATATTAATGAATTACATGATATAATATGTATTATATTATAATGATAATGAAGTTTAATAAATGACAGCACGACTATTTCTCATGTCAAGTTGAATTAAAGGATTGGTAATTTCAATAGAATTTTATAGTTTATTGGTAATGTATTTTGATTCTAAAAAAATCTGATTTGACTATTTTGTAAAATACCTCAACAATTTAACTATCAGTTTTAAAATAGAAAAATACATTAAAAAAAACTATCAAAAAATGAATGTATTAATAAAATAAGTTTTTCAAAATTATCATGATGTTAATTAATTAATTTTTTTGTTTACCTTTTGTAATTTATTTACTTTACTTTTTTAAGAGGTTCTTCAAATAACAGAAAAGATTATGGATATTTTGCATGAAAAAACAATTTAATTAACAACAAAAAAAGATATTTTGAAAGTACTTTATAGAATTCAATTATATCATGAAATGTTATCTACTAAACCATTACTCAACCTATAATAACACG